CCACAACATGACAGCGTCTGAATCACTGCAACAAAGCCTGCCTTGGTTTTACTGCTGTAAGCTTTGTTCTCTGCTCCTTAATAAGCTGGTACTCACTAAGCTGTATTCCCACTCCAGACGGAAACTTTTACAGATAAATGAGAAAAATGCTTCTTTTCTTCATTTCAAACATGTGAAAAAATGAGGAAAGTTTACGTAAATTGAAAAAAAAGGAAAGAAGGCAACTGGTGTTTGCACCCATGCAGTGGGGATACGACTGAGACGCATCAGAAAAACTAAGAAACAGACTTTGAATTTTGCAGCTGAAGAGCTAAAAAGCTACAATTCCCCTTTTTGTATCCGTTGCACTACAACCAAACGAGACCTGGAGTCACTGCTCCAACCACCACTCATTTCCAAATCCCCAGTAAGGCAATGTAGGACACTACTTTGATCTCAGGAGTTGTGCTCAGACTCTGAGAGGAAAAAAATAACCAAATGTATGGAAGGGTCACACGCCATTCACCTGAAGTTTGCTGAGTCGTGACAAATATCTCACCCAGCCAGATAATCTCCCTCTCAGTTCAGCACTGACCATGGAATCCTGCCTTCGGGGCAGCCTGCTCTCTAGCACCACGCAGTGCTTTCTTCCCAGCGTTGTCCAAAGAACCAAAGCACCCAGAAGGGGCACCACTCTGCTATGGGAAAAACTTTTTCAAGAAGAGAAGAGCTGAAGGCAGCTGAGGGCAGATCTGAGTGGTGCTGCAGTACACCACGCTCTAACAGCCATCACAGCCCTCAGAGCACGACGCTGCGGGCAGGTGGAGCTGTGCTCTGGAAACGCAGCATACAGAACTCTGCCAACAGCAGCAATGTTTCCCTGACAGCTCCAGGAGCCACACCAGCAAAAGGTCACCTGCAGACCACAGACCCTCTGCACAGATATCCATCATCTGCTGCTCATTAACTGGAAACACACCTGGAATAACACGGCTAAAACCACAACCTGCAGTAAATAACCACATCTACCATGCGAGCCAGAGCTTAAAGCCACAACGGCACTGATTCAGCCCATAGGGGTCACGTGAAACCTGAACTCACACATGCTCAGCTCAGGCCGCAGTGCCTCCCAGCCCCGCCAGCACCGCCCAATGCCTGCCCACAAGGCGTCGTGCTCAGCACCCTGCCCACAAACACACGGCCGGCCCAGCAGCGGGCTCTGTAAGCAGATGCTGGCACACAGCGCTGAACTGCAGGGCCAGGTGGGAATTTCAGCTGTGCTTTAACACCGCACCCTTCAACCCAGGCTGACACATTTCTTATTCTCCAATACAATGTGGCTTCTCTATTCGTAATACTGTAAAACAAGAACATATTCTCAAGCCCTCTTCCTCACTGTTCATTTCTGAAGCGAAGAAACAATAACCAGTGCTATCTGCCTCTGTATCTGTGCTTTCAAAACATGTACATGGTAGAAACACTTCCAGATTAAGGAAGTTTCAACTTTGCTCCACTTTCTACATCCTTTTGGGCAGGATTTCCCGTGGTTAGACAGCCAAAGGCTTTCTGAGCGCAGTGAGAAGTGTTGATTTTCAAACTGGGACTGACACAATTGGTGGTAATGGCAGCCTCCTCCTTCACCTGCTCAAAAGCCTCTGCCACCCCAAGACCAGCAGCGCATCTTCATGAGATTGACTGAAAATACTTTTTTATGCCCTCACAATAAAGTTCAGTAACACCAGCTGCCAACATTTGGGAGAACAAGTAGCTACGAATGTTTAAAAAACGTACCAGAGAATGACTTTTCCAAAGCTATAAAATAACAGGCTTAGCTGCAATATTTTATTTTCAGGGTATAAAATCATTGGCTTTGAGAGTGGCTGTAAACGTTCAGGCAAACATCACGTTACCAACCCTCCCCCCCAAATGATTTAAGAAAACAGCAGTGCCTGCATTCAGACACAAGCAGTGGACGCTCACTACGTGCTGCCAGGGCAGCTCAGCCAGGCTCTGCACACGAGGTGGCACCTGGCCGGCCCCCGCTCTGCCCCACACCATCATAAACCCACCCTACCAAGCTCATCTCTAGGCTTCTCGTCCCTGGGCACGAGCTAAGCCCAAGCTAAATTACTTTGCCTGAATACTGTTATAGTCTCCTTGCATCCGTCGGCTGGGAACACCTTTAATCAAACACAGGATGTTTCAAAGGAAATCACAGCCGAACCATAAACCAGCCCCAAATCCCGTGCCTCGGCTGCCGCCTCGTGGTCAGGAAAGTAACTGCGCTCGCTCAAGGAAAGGATCTCGGTAAACCAGCAACAACGTCTGTTTAAAACCTACATCTTCAAAAAGAACTCACTCTCTTTTAACGTATCAGAAGACAAAACGATTTCAACAATCCATTACTTCATATCTGTCTAGTCCTCTAGAGCTTCACACAGAAAGCAATCCCTTCAAAGTTACCATTTACATAGAAAAAGGGGAGGGGGGACAACACTACAGCACTGGCCATAGTGTGAGATCTGGTCAGTTAACTATCATGGCAGAGGGAGAGAAGCTGTCTGAGACATATTGTCAAGATAATTCCAGCAATGCTGCAGATTAAACTACAACTCAACTGCACTAATATTCAGCTGGGAAAGTCTTTGCAAGTCTCAGCATAGATGAAGAGATGAGCCAGGCAGCACCCTGCCCGCATGGACCAGAATTTGCTTATAACAGGGCAGGAAAGCTCATCTTGTAAGCCTGCACTTTCATTTTAGCAAACCTGATGCCAAAAATTTCATATTTTCACTACCGTTCAACTTCATTTACTTTCACTGAAGCACTTTTTTTCCGCATGTTAAACAGGAAACTGAACGTACAGAAAGTCAACATATCAGTGAATATAACCATCACTTACTTCTCCTGTGATTGGATTGGTTCCATACTTTTTTATCCAAGGAACAATGCTTCTGAAAATAGAAGGGAGAAAATTATGAGATAAGCACCACTAGAAACCTCTATTATTTTAAACAGGCACAATAAATTTCTGCCAACTTGCTTGGATCAAAGGATGGTTACACAGCAAAACAACAAGAGCTAAGAACAGCCAGGAACTTACAGTATGTCAAAGACCATCCCATCTGGTGTACAAACCGGGTATTCAAATGGCTGCAGAGACAAACTAGGAAAAAAAAAACTTTTTTTTAGCAAAATCAGCTGGAAATCATGATGACAATAGAAGTTAACAACATTTTGCTGATTGCTGCATGCTAAAGAAAGGCCAACACCAATGAAAACACAGCAGTCACCAACACCCACTGCCTGCTTCTATGTAAGTTCCATTAAAAACAAAGTTTCTGAACGGCTTTCGCAGCTGAGCACCCACAGCCACAGGGCAGATGCTGCGACGCTCCCTAAGCACAGCAGGTTCCATCAGCACTTCAAGAAGTCAAGTCAGCAGAAAACAACAGTATAACTGTCCCTTCAATCTATCTAACGGCAGCCTCAGCTTGCTGGATAGCCACCCAGTCACGATCTGACCAGGAAAAAAGAGATCCACGTTCTGATGGCACAGACGTGTGAGATGGGCACGCAGGCAATAACCGCTCCACTTCATCACACGCGCACTCCTTCAGCCACGGGATGCAGTCCCAGCACATGTAGGAGGCGCAGTCATCGTTTCAGTCCTCATCTGCACGTTTCTCACCGCAGTGCCGTCAGGGCAGGCCGATGGAGCTCCTGGGGGCCCTGAGCTCAGCGCAACCATTGGGCCCAAACGTCGGTTATTTAACAACGATAACATGCCGCCTTACCTGCAGTGATCAAACGATATCCGCCTGAAATTAGCTCGGGGATGGTCTGTTCGTGAGAGAGAAAACACGGCGTTAACGTGCAGTTCCGGGATCTGCCCGTGCCGACACGGACGCGCACGGAGGGACACGCAGACGGACACACGGACGGACACACGGACGGACACACGGACGGACACACGGACGGACACACGGACGGACACACGGACACACCCCCGCGGGGCACTCACCCGCCTTCTTGCCGCCGTAGAACTGCGTGTACTCGGCACACGTGATGTACCTGCGGGCACAGCGCTGTCAGCGCGCCGATCGCTCGGTCCCGCCGCCCCCCGCCCCGCCCCGGCGCTCGGCCCCCGCCCCGCTCACATTTTGTCCTTCTGGTGCTGCCGTTTCCCCATGGCTGCGTCCCGCCGTCCCGAAGCAGCTCGAGGTCCCCCGGCGGCGCCGCTCCTTCCGCCCTGTGCGGCTCCAAACGGCTCCGCGGGAAACGCGGGCGGCACGCGGCGTTCCGGGGCGGCACCGAGCGCGGAGCAAAGCGAGCGGGAAATTCAGGCCGCGTCGGAAGCGGACGGCTCTCGTAGCGCTTCGGGGACGGACTTCGGGTTTAAGACTTAGCGAGGAGGGCTTGTCTTCCTCTAGCTAGCCGCCTTCGAAGCGGAACGCTGAGGCGCAGTTAAACGGCGTTACAGGAGAGCGCGGCGCCGCCTGGCACGGGGTGCGGAGCGAGGGCGGGAAGTTCCGCTATGGCGGCGGGGCGCGGCTCAGCCTCCCGGCAGGAGCGGCGCGCGGCGCTCGGGGAGAAAACGAGCCGAGCGAGTGAGGTTGAAGGCCGTTCTGAAACCGCTCCGAAAGCGAAGTGCGGGCACCGCGCAGCGCCGTGCGGCCGGGATGGAAGCGCACGGAAGGAGCGCGGCTGGGCGAAGCTCAGCCCGAGCCGCGGCGCCGATCCCTTCCCGCGGCCCCCGCTCCCGAAACGCCTGGAAGGGAGAGCGCCCTGACGCTCGGCTCCGGACGCGACAGCGCGATTGAGCACGCGGCGGCGGCGCTAGAGGTGCCCGCGCCCTTCGTCACGACAATTCAAGGCCGCTTTGTTGTTTTTTAAACCAATGCAGTCTTCATTTATTTTTGTACTTACAAAAAGAGCCGTCCCGTCGTTCCCCCCCCACCCCGCCCCCCGATGCCGTTTACAAATATTGAAAAATTAAAAACCAGATGAGGACGAGTTAATTTGGTTGAATTATTTTGAAACGTAGCTTTTGTAATTAGAGTTAGATTTCCTACCAGATGACTTTGTAGAGACAGCCTGATTATTGGCCAAATAAAATTCCATATCACAAGTTAGCAAATTCTAGTACAAAAATAGTCCGTGTGTTAGAACAGCCTCTTATTATTATTACTATATTCACAGGAAAATCTATTGGCTGCGTAATACCGTAATATTTACGAAATTTCTTTTTATGCGGCTCATTCATCTAATTCAATATAGTGTTGAGCCTCAATAAATCCTTAGGCAAAAAAACCCTACACAGGGTTAAATACGCTGTTCAGTGTACTCTGAAGTACTGTGCTTTTCACAGGACATCCAAGAAACCCCATAAACAGTTCTCAGCTAATTTCCATATTAAAATGAGATCAGATCCAAAAGGACCCCCCCGAAGTACATACGCACACCCTTCCGCAGAAACAGAGGCCACAGCTTTGATGGTCACGTTTCACTTGGGAAACTGTGGACGCTCGTCCGCTCCTTTCCACAGATCCGCTCGTGAGCTTTGAAAACTAACGCAGGTCACCCGCAGCGCCGGCACCTCGCAGCACCACCTCCGCACTCCCACACCAACCGGGCTCCCTCTCCTCTCCTCTCTTCTCCTTTCCTCTCCTCTCCTGTCCCCGCGTTACGCTGTTCAGCAGTTTCTCTCGGACCAGGCCCCTCAGGGAAAAGCTGGGGAAATGCTACTTGTCTCTCAAGATGTCTAGCTGCTCTTGATATTCTGTGAAAAGCCTCTGGAAGCGGAGGTTCTGTCCAATAACAGGAAGAAGTTCTTTCAATAGTTCTCTCTTTCGTAAACCCTGAAAACAAACAAACAAAAAAACAAGCTACACAACACAAAAGCTTCCTTAGAATGCGTTTCTTTATATTGGGAATGTAATCCATAGGATTGCTTCAGATTCATGCGTTTCTTTTCCTGACTGGGAAGAGCCATACATTTTAAGTTCTTACTCTGCCTGCCTGACTAAAATAGAAGCTGACTTCACATTTGTGTGCTCATGGAGCCGCTGCGGCCTCTGAGAAGGGAAGGCGTTTCATCGGCACACCGCTGTCTCAGAGTTGCTCTCTGAAGAATGCGGAGGCCTGCACTTGTAGCTCTACTCCGCCTGATCAGTGTTTGAGACCAGTGCAGGGACTGGAGCTGAGCATTCATCTGCTGGTTCGCCCGAAATACATATAAGTGCCATGGGAAGAAGCCTTCTTGTGGGATAGGACTATAGAGTGTAAAGGGTTCCAGGATTAGCAAAAAAACATTTTAATCCATGATTATATTAAGTTCAACCACATTTTAAGTTACATTGTGTACCCACATCCTGTAATTTCTATGGGAAACTCTCCCTCAAGACTCACCATTACTGTTGATTCCCATTGACTTCCAGCTGAGTAATGGACTGGACCCAGCAAATCCTTGCATAATTCTCGCAAACGATATTCAAACCCTGAATATTATCAGAATAAGATCATAAAAATTTCACTATATAAAACCTCCACACAATTTAACTGACAACATTTTCAAGAAAAAGAGTTGCGAATATCTAGAATAGGGTAAGGCCAACATGCAGGATTTCTGAAAACGTAGATGTTTCTTTTCAATTAGTGAGGACTTTCTCACGTGTAACTGTTTTTAACATGTGTCCTGACTCTAGATGGACAGAGAGAATCAAAATGCAACTCACCGGGCTCTTATTAAATGAAGCAGGGGCCAGGAATCAGTGCTTGTTTTTATTTTTGCCAACACAGCATGGGTGGCCTAACACCACTTCATTCCCCTCCATGCAAAATGACTGCATGTGATCAGGAGTGGGGCTGAACAAATACAACGGGAGCTACTGAATTTGGAACACAAACAAGCAGAGATGCAGAGAATCCCCAAAACCACAGCCAACTGGTCAGCCTTGCTTAGTATAGCAGCATAAAGGGTATATTCAAATATGAAATGGATTCAAGCAACCGTCTCTGCGGATTACTTTCCTCACAGAATTTAGTGCTGATGTGAAGTGAGGTATAAAGAGCAAGTAACAGAATCAAACTCTCCACAGTTGGGTGTGCTCTGGTGTACGTATCAAAGGCAGCAGTTCTGCTCCTCAGCACGTATCTCACATTTTGCATGGTGCTGCCGCTGCTTCTGAAGCGCCTGTAGCTGCGGCCACGTAACACACATGATGCACCCTCATCACCTCGCTGCTCACTTTTTTGCTCATGCTCAAGGCCGCACAGATGGCACTGTTTCCCCAGACCACAGTCTGTTCACAGCATGCGAGGATTCCTGAGTACTGAAGCACTACGGGAAACAAATGCTTCATCTGCTTGGGCCGTCCGTGAGCAGCGAGTCCAGGCACCAAGTGCTGAGCAAGTGAAGATGAATTTGCAATCACACATACACACAAAGAGCTGCAGGGGCAGCGTAGCACGCTGGGTCTCACCTTCATTAACCAGGTACCGTGCATAGATAAGGAGCCAGTGGCGATATTCGTGACTGGATTGTAACGTAAGCGCTGCTGCTATCTGATTCTCCAGGTATGCAAGCGTTGTTTCTTGCTGCACTAAATGAGGCATGGAGAACAATCTGGCAGCTTGCCTTCCTGAACTACAAACCAAAGAAAATTTAACATGGCACCATAATATCAGATGCTACTTTAAGACAAAATTCTTCTTGTAACACAGTTCTGCACTTCACTTCCAGAGGCACCTAGTGCTTTCAGGGTTCCAGCCCAGAGTGACAAAGGCAGAGCTTCACTGCAAACTGCCTTACTCCACTGCTATAATTACAGGCGTCACTAATTGCTAATTAAGATATTACATGCACAGAATCATCAAATACTTCACCCATTCAATAAAGAGGAGACTCAAACAAAAATGTTAATTTTGGAGTATGCTTTCCTGCCCCCCGAATAACCTCAGAGCAGCACTGCAGTACAGACTGCAGGTGTGTGAAGAACACAAACGCTCCAGGAGCTACTGATACATATCAGTGCAATCAGCGTCTCAGGAACATCTCACTGATTCAGGCACGTGCTCAAGTAACGGGAAGAAAAGGACAAACATGCTGGTGAAATGAAGCAAAGAAGGCATACTTCGATGTTCGTCCCTGTATTACAGCTAAGGGCCCAGAACACAACATGGCTTCTTGGGATGGTAAACTACTCCTGAAGTCCGCGCATTGCGCCAAGGAGTCCTGTTTGTCAGAAACAAGATTCCTGGAAAAGAGAAACAGAGCAGAGACAAGTTTGAAGAGAGCAAGCAGTGATACCAGCTGATGCAGCTTTGTTCCGACTCAAAGCCCGACTCGCAGGCTCACAGATTACCAGAAGTGAATCACAGAGATGCTCCGCAGTTGGACGCTGAGTCGGAACAGCTGTGGTCTGTGCAAATTCCACTTGTCCTCCCATGGAAACATCCCTCCCACCCCCAGAGTTGACAGGGCTGATCATTTAGTACAGTGCATTTATTTTGAAAAGCACGAGGAAATCCACTGTCTGGCATTTTAGAGCACACACGACTGCATGCCCATAACGAAGACTGGGGCAAACGCACGAAGTAACGACTTTCACACTGTGAGTTTGGTTTGAGGGAGGGCCAGGTCCCCCCACCCCCTGGACAGGTCATCACAGACATTCTGACACTCTTCAGACTTTAAGCTATTCCTTCTTACCCAGGTTGCTGACAGCTACAGCTGACATTTCCACACCTAATCAAGGATATCATTTTCACTAAGTTTGAGATGCCGAGGGAATCAGTGACTCAAAACAGCGCTAAGTTTAGACCTCCAGACAGCTCAGAGGTAAATGGCACAAATATTTAAAATAACCTTTGCTGCTTTATCATGTTTAAATTCGTACGATGACTAAAGGGATCACTCTTTTACATGTTTCCAAAGCTGTAGTACAAACAAACAAAGAGGCAGCGGGGTCAGAATTCTGCCTGGAAATCCATCCCCTGCTCCATGGTGCCTGGGAAGTTCTCCACACAATTTGTCAGTTTATCTAAACAAGTAAAGCACACTTAAGCCCCAGGGCACTGCTTTAACTTTCAAAATGTGGAGTGAAACAGTAAACCAGAACATATGCTTGGCTACGTTGTAAAAGGCACACACGTAAAACGTACCATGTAGAGAGAGAAGGATTAAAGCAGTACGCCTTCCCATCAGACATGCTCATTACAGGAATGCCGTGCTGAGTCAGCAGGATCTGAGACACGGTTGTATCGCTTCCTACAGATCAAACGAAAGCCAGGTATTGCTTTGAGTCCTGCATGCATTCATTGTGCTAAGTAAAGTATGCTACCACTGCCAACCAGTAGTCTCAGCAACCAACAGAGAAAGGTGAACAAATTGTTATTCTCAGAGATTAATAGGAACATTAAAAAACAATGGTCAGCACCAGGTCAGAGCCGTGGCATTAAGATTGTTCGCCTGCAGAATCCACTATCAATCTCGATGTTGCCATTTATCCACAACATTTGCTTAATTAGAAACATTTTCTGTATCTGAGTGAAATTGTCAGCAAACCTGCCATGCCTTTTGTAATCCCCAAAGCCTTTATCTTTCTTCTTCCATTAAGTCAAAATTCTAAAAGCCAGCATCTTTGAAAAGCTGCACCCGCTATCAACACTGTGTGAGTGAGGTGGCTGGAGTCTTGCCTTTCCTGGAACATTTCCGTCCCAGGATTTGTACATCTAACTTCTAATGAAGACTCTTGCAAACTGCTGGAACAAATACTTGTCAAGTTAGTTATGGTTCGTACGGAGATGATTAAAGCTAAAGTGGAAGACAGTATGCTCTCAGAAACTGCCTTTTTTCCCCCCATTTTCTTCATCATTAAGATAATACACTTGCAGAGTGTGCACAGTCATGAATGTGATAAATAGCAAGGCAGGGCCTAGAGGTTGGCAAATGACCTCCTTTATTACCTGATAATATTGTTTGCAAAGACTCGTCTCTAACAATGACTGTCTGCTTGTGAACATCCCTAAAAAAAGAAGCACAAAAGGAAAAGTTTGCAGTTTACAAACAACAGAAACTTCCAAAATCATTTAACAAACATACATTTCAATTTCAATGCTAGTTACTGGGGGGGCTTTGTTTGTTTGTCCCATTGCTTTAAGAAAATTGTTTTAGCAAACTCAGAGTTCTTGTATCAGGGCAGAGAACAAAATTTATGTCCCTTTCTATCAGGAATCCTCATTACAGCTAAGCAAACTGAGGGCCCCAGCAATGCCTGTAGGAGCTCTGACTTGTCTGCTCTGACTTGTCTACAGTTGTATGAGGCATTAGATTTAATTTAACAAGTACTGCAGTTTCTACCTTCATATCTTAAAGGATGCCTTGAGTACTCTAAATCCCATGCATTTCATTGACTAAGCAAGACAGAAGACAGAAAAGGCTGCCTTTCTCCCACCCCACACCCTATTCATTCCATACATACCCTAGGGAATCTGTTCAGATTCATGGTCTGCATGGAGTTGCTGTCTATTGCTATCTCACTCATAGTATCAAAGTGAACGTTAAGTTCCCTCCTAGAACGGAGATTCGGGATTCAAGTCCTGCCCAATTATACCTTCATCTTGTACTCAAAATGGGACTCATGTTCGGATCTGCTTTAAGGCACAGTTTCAACAGGAACGCATCAGCCCCACCATTGAACAGAGTAACCTATAACATCAGCCTCTGCGAGCAGACACGGCACTTACCAAACAGAGAGCGTAGCAGCAGTGGTGAGAGTCATGATGTAAGAGCCTGTGCAATGCAGGGTGGAAATGGGCGTATTCAGTATTATGGGGGGGAGAAGGCGGCGACCACAAGCCGAAAATACCGACAGCGTTCGTTTCTCACAGGCTACGCAGACAATCTCACTAAAAAAGAAAGTCCAAAATAAACTCTTACGTTTCAATACACGAGAGCTGCATAAAACCACACTGCCTGCTTGGGTTGCCATACCTTTCAGGGAACTAGCTCCAGCTGTAAGTATTACAGCTTTTAACAAAATCCTAGGTACCAAAAGGAAAGGCCGACAGTGGTCAGATTATCCATTTTAGGTGCATCCCACATCTCCTTTGTTTATTTTAACCACAGTGATGGAACTCTTGTAATAGGCAAGAGAATGTTTGCAGGTAGAGGTGCTATCTTTTATTACCTTTAGTGGCATAGTTGGAAATACCAGTAAAACTCTGGGATATAATCAAGGTCTTCTTCACGCCTGAATTTGTATTTAACTTAGAAATGTTGCTGCTTTTTTTTCAGACCTCAAGAAAAGGTATTGTGTTTGCAATACCTTTTTTTCAACTACATATGGCAGCATCATAGGAGATACTGCTCCTAACTACAAATATCAGTAATCTCTGGGTGCCATCAGAAAATCAAATGCTAACTACTACGTTATCATGATGTATTTAGCATTAATGAAGGAAGTTAAAGAACTGTAAATATACAATATTTCTTATCAGCTGAGAGTCCACGATGCTTCAAGATTCTGTAAACAAAACTAACATTTGGAGTGAAATTGGTCTCAAGACTGAAAGCAATAGGTATTTTTGTCCACAAAATGTTTATTGTGAAACAGTGCAGAGACTACAATGGCTGAGGGAAAGGAGGAGGTGGGGATGGTTAAGACAGGAAACAGCAGTAGCTGACAAAATCCCCTCCAAAACTTCCACAGGATGAGAGATTAAGAGCATCACTGCAGAAGAGCAGGTTAGGTGGAAGACAAACAGGACATCCTGAGCCAAGCAAAAATCATCACATAAATCCCTAACAGAAGTGATGCAGTTAATCAAAATTTCTAAATTAGTGGATAAAAATTCTTCTAGAGCCTCCACCTCCCCGTAGAACACAAAGATTTATTTTACATGTAATTCACTTCTTCTCAAGTGTACTTTTGTACCTCCAAAACATTTTCTAGCCCTCAGGACTATTTATTCCCTTCAGGCTTTCACTTCCTCAAAAACAGGCTCTCTTACCAGCTTCCTGCTGCTGTGAGAATTCGACTGGTGAGGACTGTCTCCCATTCCTTTCCTTCTCGATTACACTTCAACCTGCTCAGCTTGGAACCTCCCACTGTGGTCATTTCATTCTCCACTTCAAGGTACATGGATGGATCTGAACTTACCTGAAAAAGGAAAAATATAATATTTCATGAAGAGAAAAGCATCTCCTCAAAGAAAGCAACAAACGATGTTAGATTCAAACACCGAAGTTAAGAAAGTACTGAAGTATGGCATTCTGCTTAAAATCACTTCAAAATGTACTGCTGCACTTTAAAAGAAGCAGACCTCTGAAAATCAGCCGTGGCTACAACACAAATACCCAGAACCAGAGGCATTTCTCACTGCAGTTTAGCTAGTGCAGAAGTACCCATTCTGAATCGACTGGATGCTGTTTTTTCTCACAGTTATGTTCTCAAAGGCTGAAGTGTACATTCTTATCAAACACACATGAAGACGCTCATTCATCAAAAGATCTTAAATATCTTAAGAATACTTTTGTTAAAAACATATATATATATGTATATACATATTTTAATAGTAAGCTTCTTTTCCTTTTAGACAACTTACTTGCAAAGTAAATGATTTCTGTGGGATTGGGGTTGGCAGCTTAAGTGCTAATGCTGGTGCAGAGATGCATGCAGCATCTTTTTCAGAAGCCAGTGCAGCTGGGGACTGGAAAAAAAAGCAGAGTGGTTGTATTTTTCCATTAAGAACAGGTTAAAAACAAAGATATGTTACAACATAAATGGATTTGAAAAACTTTTTAAAGAGCCCACATAACACTCATCTAAAATGTTGTTTGTCACATTTGTTACATAAATGTATTTTTAATACAGCTCTTGAGACTTAAGTGCAAACTAAAGTTAAAATTTATTTGGAACTAATTAATGGAAGTCCTGGTATATTTCACAGAAGAGCCAAGCTCTGAAAATTTCAACTAGAAGGATACATATTTCCTAAAATGATGGAAACTGCAATGTAACTTGCTGCTTCCCAATTCCTAGGGAAGGCATAAGCATTTAAGTTACATCCACACCAAACTCTTGTGCTCGGGCCTCTCCCCATGAAGAATACCAAGAACCCCAAGAACTAATGGAGTTTCTCGTGATTCCATACAGATCTGGCAGACCATCAGTAGTAGCACTGGTTCCATTTAATGAGCATCTCTGCTCATCCTTGTATAGTGTTTGCTAAGTCATGTGAACCTGCTAGTTATCTTAAATCAGAACAAGGTTCAAAGTGGGAGAGCTAAAAAATCTGAGGAATCCTACAGTGGTGGCATTGACTCGATGGAACAGGTGACATTTTCTTACACGAACACTGGAAGTCATAATGAATCTCACTTATTTCACCTGAACAGTTAAAGTTACTGGTACAAGTCTGGAGTCTTTTCGAGGTCTTCCCTTTTTCTTCTTTTCTACCGTTTCTCCCTCAAGTTCCAGCTTTCGCTTGGGTGCACTGAGTGGTTTAGCAGCTGGAATCTTCTCTTCGCTGTCACTGCTACTCTCCAGAATATCCTTGGGCTTATTGTCTTTAATTAAATTCTGATCCTTCAGTCTGTGGAAGTAAACACATTTCACATAAGCCTGTTCCAAAGGCTGTATTTTATTTTACTGCTAAATTACAATTACAATCAGTCCTCTTCCCTGGGTCGATACAAATAATCCAGCACTTTAAAGTATAAGAGTTTCTCATCTCTTCGCCTCCAACGGACGTTACACTTTCTGCTTACTCAAGCAGGACTTCATTTATCATTATGCTGCCTTTCCCCAGTTCAGTTCTGACTAATGTAAGCTGCATGTCTACAAGCCATTTAAGTGCCTGCAGTGCTCCATTCCGTATTTGAGGAATACAACAAAAGTAAAGGAGAGAGGGTACGAATCCCTATGACCTCATTAGACATCACAGTCTAGAAAAGATCCTCCAGCTGTTCTCTCCCCATTCCTCTCAATGGCCAGTTATTAACTCACAGCGTTTCGTTACTTATTCCACAATCACTCCTTAGGAATTCCTTGCATAAGCCAAACCTTTCTTCTTGGGCATTTGAATTCTGCCAAACAACTTCCATTTATCCATAACTTTACCAGCACACTGGAAACAAGTATGAGAGTAACCTAATACTTCTCTTTTTTAACCATGGCTAGATGCTGACTAAAACTGTTGAGGTACTTAATCAAAACACACTTTGTCAGTGATAAATCAGAGAAACACATTATGTTACAACACCCCTCCCCTTTTTTTTTTTTTTTTTAATAAAGATCATGGGAATCCAAAGTCAGAAAAAACATAAAATCAGAGTCTTCTCCACATGCCTTCAAGGCACAACAGGTCCTTTGCAGAGACATCTTGTCATTTATCTCAAAGTAAATCTCACTCTTGCACATGGACACAGGGTGGCTATTTTTGTCTTCCTAGGAACACAGATGCAATATCCACAGATGAAGGCATGAACATACACACAGCCTCTTGTAATGGGAGCCTTAATACTGAGTATTATGAAGAGTCTGCTCCATGCCATATGCCAGAGAATAAATGTACAAAGGGATAATGGTAGCAAAGAATTCACCCATTCCCACCTCTCTCCTTCATTCCAATTTTGAAAGAGACCCAAGAATTTCCACAGCATTAGCACCGTAGACAATCAGCTTTTAAACTCTACATTACTGTCCTTTTTTGTCTTTTGGGCTATTTCTTACCTGTCCACAACAGTCTGATTTGTATTTGTTATGACAGCAGTCCCTGAGGTGGCTTTGGATCGTTCTGTAAATCTAGAATCAAATGCTTTCATAGGTTCAATCTTGGATGGAGTTGTCAATACAGAGGAAGATGATGCAGGAGGAGCAGCTGAAACAGAGGTAGCATTTACACTGCCAATAAAAGGGATGTGAGAAAAAGGATTGAAAGAAAGTTAGTATTTGTAACCCACATTGGAAGCATTCATTATCTTGGCTAGAAATCACATTCAAAACTTTTCACTGGTACATGTGAGAATTATAATACACTTTTTCACCTTTCACATGTCAGTATATTCCATGCTTTGTCTAGTGTCAAAAACTGTTTGCAGCACATCTCTGAGCTAAAATCTTGCTGTTTAATCTAGATCTATCCAGACTTAGTGACTTTAATTAGCACATTCTTTAAGTATTTTTAATTCAGGAACTAAATTTTTAGCTAGTTCTTACGTTCCTAATTGGAAAGGTTTGCTGTTTTAAATAACGACTGGAATTTCTGGTTTTATCCATTCTTCCTGTTATCAAACACTTCCCTTTATAGGATTATATTCCATCCATGCCAATCAAAGAACTTGTGCCGAAACATTCCATGCCAAGTTTTAATTTTGTTGTTGAAGAATCCAAACAATTTATTATGCCTTTTCCAAGCATGACTAAGACATAGGAATGTGTTTTCCCCATACTAAAGCATTCCAGGGATCTGTTATTTGAATAGCTGTTTACTTTAGAGATTTTTCAATCCATTCAGGGGAACAAAGGGCTCTAAGATAACTGATGCTTGCACTAAAGAGCAGCTAGAAGCCCAATTTCTAAAGAAAAGGAGACTTAATAATTTTGTCTGTCCATCGTTCCTCACAGCCTACCACTCACTCTTTAATTTATGACCAATTTCAACTAAATTTAATGGAGTAGTAGAGATTTCAATGACATGCTCCTACAAATGCTATAAATATATATATAGGAGGGGAGGGAAGATCAGCATTACCACTGAGGAAAAAGTGAGTAAAGTTTACTTGTTCTGCAATTAATCTGAAAGACACGCAGTTGACTCAGTGTACGTGCACTGACAAAGCCAGTCACTGTGCCCTCTCTCATCTGAGTTGTTGATGTAGGGAAGAAATATTACTGTGCTTGAGGAGATCCAGGGGACACGGGACAGAACTCAAGGGAAACAGACTTCATTACTTTAATTGCTGGAAAATTCATTTACTAATAACAACTCAGAATTCTGTTAGCAAGCCACTTTGTCAGAGCATCAGCACGCAGTCAGCTGTATCCTGTTGCACTGAATTCACCTTCAGAACCACGCACGTGAAATTCTTCACTACCGATTTATCGCCTGCTCAGTAACCTAATGCTAATAAACCTCCTGCAGGAGTGCTGGATTCTTAAAGCTCTGGGGTAAGGAGATCAGTGTAATGACTGACTGATGACACAATCACAAACAAGAACTAAACCAAGACCATGTAAATGAAAAACAAAACCTGCAAATACTGACCCATCCTTATTGGCTGCATCATCTGTTGGTTTTATACTGGCTGCTGTTGGCTCTGCAGAAGGCTTTGAAGTATTAAGTGAATTTGCTGCATTAGAATCTAATGACATGAGCTGCTGGTTGTTTTGAGAAGACATTATTGAGCCAGCCAGTGTGCCAGATATTGGGATGCTATTGAAAAATGCTGTAGAAAAATCCCTAAGTAAAAGACAAACAACAAATAGATTTCTTCAAAACATTTTGAAAATAATGGAAAGAAAACCATTCTAATTAAAACTCATCCCATTTCTCCCTCTGCTGCACTCAGAGACTTTCATTACACGTTTTGTATGTATACACAACACATACACATAAAGGGACACACAGCCTAAATAAACCACCAATCACTGACTTCCCAGAGCCCTTCTCCATACACAAATGAAGATAAAGCCAGCATTAACGCAGAGATGAACCCACAGAACTTTAGCAGTGTTCACTCATCTACAAGGGCAGATAATGAGTTAGCTTATCTATTAAGAAGATATTATATCTCTAGTGGTTTTAGAAACTACTTCCAAATGTACCCAGTGTCCAGCTGAGCTATGCAGAGAGGTGTGATCCTCCTCCGGCCATCTGCTGTTCGTGTTTCAACTTGCTTTTTTAAGAGATTCTGTTGGGAAATACATGTCATCATTATTTCTGATAGATAGGATGCTACTGCACACGTAGCAGTTGAATCTACAAGAATATTTCTGTAACATAGCCTCTTCAAAAAAAAAAATAATCAAAAATCCTCCTTAAGTTCATATCTTACAAAATGCAACGGATTCTAGTTCTGATTACTGCTTTCAGGTAATAACATAGCATGAATTACTTTTCATTTTTAATTCAGGCACAGCCATTTCCAATTCCAGACCTATTCAACACGAACAAGGCTGCAGAAACGTCTTTTATCACAAACATCTGCTGTTTGCTGACTTCCTACTCGATGCTAGAAAGTAACCACCCAAGAGCACCTACCTTTCTAATGTCCTCTAAGCTCTCCCCATTGACCATGCTTGCCACTTTGGGAGCTGTGGCCGCAGCCCCAGATGCTTCCCTCATCGATGCGTTCTTCTGCTCCGCCTGCTGCTGCTGCTGCCTCTGCTGATACTTGAGCATCTCTGGATTCTCAATGATGGTTGTAGACAATTGAGCTTCAGTCATTATAGCTAGGCTTTTACCATACGTGGACTGATGGATGTTGCTCTGCGAGTGTCAGAAGTGTACCACACAAAGAGTGACTACAGCTGCCAATGTGACATCACTACATATGATGCAGAGGAACCACACAAATCTAACAGATAGAAGATTCGATACGTGTCCTCCACCATTTATAAACTAATCATTCTTTTTCCTTTCTTTACATTGTGAGCTAATAATAAATCAGTACATTAATTAGAATTCAAAGCTTTAGTTGCTAATAGCAATAAGAGTTAAAAACAGCCAACAGCAAATCAGTTTAAAAAGGTTTGCATACAAGCAAGTCAAAGAGTAATTTTAAAGTGTTCTGAAGCACCCACTCTCGGTTTCCCTGGTCAAATAATTACTTGTAACATATAATGGTGTGTAAGCAGGCGGATGTTTTCCAGCTACGCTTTCTTTCCAGAATAGAAGCTACCACCATCAATTCATTTCTTTGTGCTGTTTTTAAACAACAACACATTTTTCTGCAACATGAAAATCAGTCACTGCATACTTCTATAAACATTCCAGTACTTCAACTGAATCAATGCACCCCTTATATAAGATCACAGATTCTCGGGATTGCTTACTGTACCTTTTCCTCCTCGCTGAGTGGATCTCCAAGTTCATCCTGGGAAAAGTCTAAAAATGCCACAGATCCATCCATGGAACACACCAAGATACCGAGTCCATTGAGGGTCCTGAAGGAAAAAAAGATCCACCCTTGGTTTTTCCTTCTTGTTGATGCGATGGGGCCATACAGCGAATTTCAGAATTAGAAACAACATTTAGCCTAAGGTATATTATCACAGTGAACACAAATGGAACAGCCAGGAGAAAAGGTGTAGATGGACAGCAAGGGTCTGTGTGCTCATCCTTGAAAGAAGGCAAATCAGAGTGAACATGGGAAGGTGGCTGTAGAACAATACACCCCATGGCATCACGGAAAGCCTTCTGTAGGGGTAAAAAAATATCATCTGAAGCACTCACTGTGCACAAAGAGAGAAAAACGTAGGTATATTTGCTTCAAAAGATGCACAGAGAATTTCTGTGCTAACAGAACTGGGTGAAGGGACTTCAGCAGGTAAGCTGACACACTTCTTAATAGAATTGCCACTTTGCTTCATCGTGCATGGGAAACAAATTACAACAGATTGTCTATTCCCACAGAGAGCTTGCAGTCCAAATAAACAAGGTAGGAGGGAGAAGGGAAAAGACTGTAAGAGAGAAGCAATGTGTGTTGGTTTAGCACCTTTTCTCAATCATCTTTATGTGAAGTGACAACAATAAAAAGAAAGCAAGATGTGTGTTTGAGCAGGCCTAAAATCGCTGCACTAGGTAAGAGCATATATTTGAGTTCACTGCTTGTTTCTCTAAGCAAACTGCGTGTGCTCTTACACAGGGGAAAGTGTTACACTGCTCTTCTGGAGGACAAAAAGGTTTTCTTGGTGGGAGCACAGAGAGAGGATATATTGTTCCCTTGATGGCACGGCAGCCTTCCTGTATTGCACATTTAGAAACAAAATGAGTTTTGACTACCAAGCCAGTAACACACATTCACTGACCTAACAGAGGCAGTAAGGTAAAGTAAGATGGCCTTCTATAGAGGAAAAGAGAAAAAAAGGAAGCAGACAGAACTCTTTGGTCCTATCCAAACTAGTCCTGCAAGGTTTAAAAACACTGCATGCACGACAGCTGCAGGTGTTTGAAAATGGCTTTCTCTGTGGTGGCTGTACATTGATAGCATCACATTCAGAAGAGTCAGCATCAGCACCATGACTGGGCCAAACAACACAGTTTCCAATTAGAAAAGTGATATAACTTAGCGGAGAGTTTTCTGCTCAATTATCAGATAAAACTGCTGAGCTCCTACTGACATCCAGAGCCCAGCAATTATTGTGTAACATCGTCATGGCACTCAGATGTTGTAACAATGGATTCAAGCCCACAGCTCCAAGCCAGAGCCCAGGCAGCTATAACAGTGTAATAGTTTCAGATTCCTTTGAATTTCATCAGTCTGTTTTCAGAATTGGGCAACCAACTGGAATGCATTTCTGGGAATATGCCATAATATTGGCATTTTAGCCATAAATTTGAATTTGTAAACAGGATATAAAATAATAAGTTTCCTGATGAAGCTTTGTTTACCTCATACATCCCACAAAACTACTTCCTTTTAAACAGTAAAATGTTAACCAGCTATTACTCCCAATGACTTTATGCCACTGAAAATGTGCAATTTGCAGATGGAAAATTAAAAAGCACTACAGGAAAACAAAGCTATTTGAAGCTATTGTCCTATAACAGCAGTTCCCAGGAAACATTCTGTTTTTTGGTGTTTATTTATGAAAGCAAAATGTTTTGGATTTGAATTTTTCATGTGTTTCTCTGACCTTCGTGGCAAAATTCATACAGCACAAAGAAAATAGGAACCTACAACAACTGTAAGCTTTAAAATTCACTCTGTAAGAACACAGCATCACAGCTACAAAGGTAGAATTTCAAAAGCTAGGAGACGCTCACATTAACACAACCTATGCAATCAGCTGTGTGCATAGTGTGGAAAATTACTTTTTTTTTAAATAACATACAAAGCCCAAACTCTGTCAGTCACCCATTGCATAAGTGCAGCGCTGCTGGGATTTTTTGTTTCTTCATTTTTAATACCACTTGCAGAGTAGAGTCGTGTTCACTACCTCCTCATTTTTCAGGTCTCACTATGAATGAAGGGCTGTTACCTTTTGCCTTCCTAAGACCTCGGCCTTTGATGCTGGTTGTCCCAGCAGTGAGGCAGACATTCCTAAATACAGGAGGTTTTGTTCAGTTCTGATGTCACGCATGCTGAAGTGCTCCCATGATAATAGTTAATGTCACGACACCAAAGACGATGCAGCAGAACCGAAAATCAGCATCTATTGTTCCAACAGATACAACCTGCACTATTTCCATGAATTTCCAGTTAAGGTGCCTACCTAAAGCTGACAACATTCTGGCTTCTGTAAGAAATCAACTTACCAGGAGATATCCATGATAGACTTGTCGAACAGCTCATGTATGACAACTAAAGGTCTTTTCAGACACGTGAGCTTAAAATAGAAAAAACAACACTCAGAAATTCAGAAGTTCTATGCTACCACAAATTTTACCACATTAATGCTTCCCCATAGTCTAACAGCGTTCTCCAAACAAGACTAGGCCAAGAGACAGCTGCGTCCTTGACAGCGTGATGAGAGCCAAAGCTATCTCCTCACTAGCACAGAAAGCTCCGCAGAAGAAAGGTTGACATTCAATCTCCCCCTCCCTTCTGAAACACAAAATGTCTTCACCAACTTAGTCCTTCTTCTGCACTCATAGAGCTTTCTACCACTCAAAAGGTAATTCCACACATGCTAAGACAGCTTTCTATTCTAAGCTTTATTGAGATAAGGATGTTGCAAACTGCCAGCACAAGACGAAGACAGATTAGGTTTCATGTCTTCACCCAGACCATCTGCCCAAGCAAGTGATGCCTGCCAATAGCAGAGGGAAATTCACTCACAATTATTCAAAAGGAGGATTTTTCTATACTCACAGATCAGCTTAGTAATAAAGAGCTGAACATGAAAACTCCAGTATGCTGCTCAAATCAGAGATTCTAATCTCCTTAATGTTAAGCCAATGAACTTGATGTTTACAGCACAAGTACAACACATAAAACAAGCAGAATGAAGCACGAGAAGACAAACTGATCTAGAAGCTTCATGCTCATTGGTACACAGAGGTCGTGTGTCATCTTCAGCAGCTCCTTTTCTGTTTCCCTCCTTGGCCTGTATTGTATACATTCCTACAGCTCTTTGGGGGTAATGACTGCCTATAAGTGCATCTCTACAATACCAAGTGAAACTTCAACAGACGCCCTGCATGAAGTCACAGTACAAATATAGAATAAAGCAAACCAACAGTGATGCTTGGATACGGGTAAGCACTGGTAGCAAGGCGAGGAAGAGATTTACTGTTATGCATTTAATGACTGATGAATAGATACCACTCTGGAATCTATAAACAGTAGCTGTGTTCTGGCCCACATTCTCATTATAAAGCCTTACAGTTAAACTTATTCTCTACTCTTGGCAGTTACCAAACAACCCCTTGCATTTGTAGATGTGAGAACAGTCATCCTCTCTCAGACAGAATAACAATTTGAGTTCAGATTTTTGAAGTAAAACACAAACTAGAAATTGAAAACTTGAAAGTATGTTTTAAAAGCTCATTTACTTTCACACTGGTTTTCATAGCAAAGGCAGAAGCCAGGGATTGAAGCCAGAACAGAGCACAAAGATGAGACACACACGCTCAGAAACAGCTGTGCTGTGCATGCTGAACGCTCCTTGCACGTATAAAAAGCAAGACTATCAAAACTAGACTCCAAAAATGATTAAAAAAAACAGGTGGGCTAAATATGGAGTGATAGTACAGTCTTTTTCTTTAGGACTCACATGGAGAGCAAGTAAAGATACTGGAAGGAAATAGGGCTGAATTACGTTCGTTAGCTGAAGTAAGACATTATTTCCCTTAACAGTTCCTCCCTTTACCACCACAACATACTCTGTCATTGGCTTCTAGTTGTTCTTGGCTCCAGAACACTGAATTCCTGAAATAAGCTACTACCAATCCACTTCTCTCCCATTTAATCCTCTCATAACCAAGAATAAAAAAATCTGAATATGAATCTAAGTAAAAGACCTGATGCTGTACACACGACCTCTGTGCAAAGCCCTCAAGCTATCCAAATGACCACGTTAATCACAGAAGGCAAACACACTTACCCAGACAGAAAGAGATCGATCCTTACTGCCAACAGCACAGCAGCAGTAGGGACAGCTTGATTTGGTAGAGCTCCCATTCTTTTGTTTCTTCTTGAAAATTTTTGGATTGAATTTCTGCACAAGTGAGAGGCCACAAATTTTATTATAGCAATCGTATTTTAGTAGATCTGCCTTAAAAACAAGCTTTCCAGTTACGAGTGAAAAAGAAAAACATCTCATGGAAATGAAGTCCCTAGCCAGGCTTTGTCAGAGCACAGGAAGAGCCCCACGTGCTTACTTAATGGACTGTCTGAACACCTTACCAGCTATGCCAAAGAACATTAGTTTTACTAGTGATCAGGAACACAACAGAAACCCCAGTTGCTGAGCAGCTAACAAAGCTGGCTTCTGACACTGCCAGCCTGCTCCTTTATTTCCCCCTTCTTTTCACCTTCATCTGCATCCAGCTCTCGTATCACAAGATCAGGCTGGTTGTTTCCAGCATTAAAGTTGAAATTTATTCAACACCACCACATTTTACTTCACACGCTTTACTAACCTTGCCATCCGTCCCCTCTCTGGTCCCTCTGGCGCATGCAGTTACCAAAAAGCACATCTTATGATTTTATTTCAGGAATAAATCGTTGTCATTCACTCACCACTACCGTAACTGCCTTCCGATGCCCCACAAAATCCATGTTGGTTTTCCATCCATCTCTCTCGATGATCTGAGCAGTAGGTCCAGAATTATTCATGGCGTGAGCAGAAACAAGATAGTGACCATCAGGTGACCAGCTAAGACGCAACACGTGTGTTGTCCCTCCACACTGAGGAAATGAATAAGAAAATGTACTAGAACTTAGAGAGTGTCTGGCAAAATATATTTATATTTTTATATATAATCATTATTTTTTAAACACACAAACTATTTAAATTTTAGATTTAGGAAATATGGTTACAGAGTCTCTTGTGTCCATACAAGAAAGACAATACATACACTTCTCAGCACTTCAGCCACGCTTATGCAGCATGACGTAGGAAGCTCTAACAAGAGGAGGAAAAAGGCATCCAGAGAATTAGTTTTGGAGGAAACGAAACACAAACCTTCTTGCGTCCAGCACACTCAGTAACGATCACAGTTGTAGCCCAGTCACAGGGCTGCAGCACATCAGCTGCTAACAGTGAGACTTCAGCTTGCCACACGTTATGTGCATTCGGACATTTACAGTCTATTACTACGAGTACTGGCACTGACACCACCATGTCCCTGTGCAACACAGCCCACTCACTGAGCGTCAGTTTCTCTGACCTCCTGTTCAAAGTCAAAGTCAAAGTTTCTGATAATGGCCAATAGAAGATGCATAGGGAAGAACGCAAAAGCAACACAATTTCTTTGTTCCAATTCTTCCCTGAAACAACCTCCATGTTTCCAGGCATCTACTTGCTTCCACGACCATACACATCTTTGGCATGAAAGAAGTTCAGTGGCAAGAGTCTCAATTTAATGACACGTTGCATGAGAAAGTTTCCCTTCACATCCCCTTTAGAATCTACCACCAGATATTTTAACAGCGCTAACTCAGATGACACTGCCCAGTGCTTCTTCAGAAGCAGAGTTAATCTAACAATTTTCATCCACTCTGCAGGAATTCACTTGGAGTGGTCACACATTCTCAAGTACCTCATCAAAGGGTTTTGTGATGCTAGTTTCCAATTGCCAGTCCATTGTCCGCCACACTTTCAAACTCCGATCATCAGCCTGAGAGGCAATGTACTTTCCAACAGGATCCCAGGTCAGCCCTTTCACCAAGCCAGAATGTCCTTTCAAAGTGGCAAGAATTTCTGTTCCAACAAGAAAAAAAAGCTCCTTAAAGCAGCAGTTTAACTGGAACTTTAGTTAAACATTCATCCTTTCTTTGGTACCCAAAGATTATCACAACAAATTTGGCTTCTTAATACCTGTGAGTGAAAAAATACAGAAGTCTGCCTGAAAATGGGCTACAAGGTCTGCCAATCTCCTGATTATCATCCTGTTAGAGGAGTGGCTGAGAGCACTGCACAGCCTACAGATAGCCTGAAAGTGTAAAACCTCCAACATCAGCCTTGGCAGCAGCCCTCCAATAAATAGCGGTGCTCAGACAGCACACAATGCGAGTTTCGGCTTACACCAAGGTAAGTGAGGAGAAGCACCCAATACAGGCAGGTGCTCCTTAAGTGCTGCAGACCCTCCAGGTCTGCTGAAGGCTGCAGGACCAGAGGAGCTGCCAGCGCTGCAGCAAAAGAACAAACATGGCCATCAACTGCAAGACTGGAGAGCTTTGGCAGCAGTGACAGAAGAGGATGCAGATGGTCCCTAGCCCTTCTTTTTCCCCTTCTTTATGTAACGGCACGCTGGTTATTAAACAGCAACATAAATGTGGGATAAATCAGGAAGCGGCTCCCCAAAGGTGAGGGGATGGGAAGTCCTGTGGGTACAAAGGCAAGAAGGAAAAAACACAAACCTAAGTAGAAATACTTTAATATCAAGCTGAAATGGTATGCAGTTATGACATTGCAGAGAAGGTAAAGAAAATACATGTAATAATGACTTTCCTGTAAAACCAGGAGCATAATCTGAGCGTAACTTATCTCCAGCAGCACGGAATCCAGTGATCATCAGTAACCAAAGTTGAAAGCAGGAACTCACTGTATTGCAGGTGTGCCATCTTGAAAGGCAGGCAACCCACTGCCACATGGGCACTGCCAGTGAAACACCCACAGAGCAGCTTACTGCAAAGTATTACATGCTTGCACATCTGAAACAGATTTCTCACCTGGAAATTTGACAGCGTTCCAGATGACAACAGTGTTATCCACACTGCAGGATGCCAGCCAAGCATCATGTGGAGACCATGCTACGTCCATGACATCTGTTTAAAAAAAGTCTCTGTGTAAGGCACCACCAGAGAATCCAAAAATCTTTTTTAAAAATGTGGGGCAACATTTTTTCCGTCATCAAGAAATGACGACAGTATCACAGGAGTGGGAGTGAGGACAGAACACAGCAAAATGAGACTGAGGCCAAACAAGTTGAAAACAGAGAAATGCAATATTTAGTGCCTATAAAAGTAGTAATGCACGTATAGAGTACTTGCTCTGAACAGGGAAGTAGCAGCAGATATTGCACACACTCACTTCGTTCCAAAGCATGCGTACAAATTATGTTTGTTCTGTGCCTGTTAACTTACCCCCTGAATGGCTTCTGAGAATTGATACACACCTCCACTGCTCAACATTAGTTAGTTTGCTGCTAGAACCAAACACAGTGCTGGGTCCAATGTACCTAGTTAAAATAGAAAAAAAAACAGTTCCCAACAGAGCCACCTCACATTTTTCACACTCTTTCTAAGGAAAAACCAACTGCACAGGACGCTTCCATTTCATGTTCAGGTATTTCTGCAATACAAAGCTGAAACAAAAACGTGTTTATAGAAAGTAATTCCAGTTATTAAAAAAAAAAGAACTAGCTTCCATGCAAGTTATACTGTCCAGCAATAGCAAAAACTAATAGCTATAATAAAAAACTAATTATTTAAGGAACCCTTCAGATCTCATCAGGAAGTTTTCCTCAAGGGCAGACGCTGCCTTAACTCACAGCCAGGAGCACAACTGCCCAGGTAGAACAGCTCCAGCCCCAGAGATGGGATAAAGGACTACCAGTGATTGGTATCACAGCTTGCAGCTCCACACGCACCACAGGAAGCAGTGAGCTTTCCAGATGCTTGCAGAGGGAAGAAACACTAATAGACTTGATATTGTCACTTACTTGAAACAAAACACAAAACTGAGAAGGAAGAAATATGCTTACGCGGCTCGTTTCCACACCATGATCAGTTTGTCGTCTCCTCCTGAAGCCAAGTAAACTCCATTGTTTGACCATCGCACACAGTTCACACAAGCTGAAAATTAAGAAAAGAAAGCTTGTCAAATGAAAACTGAGCATAGAATCTCCTAGACTGGGGGCACAATCGATAAGAGGTAAAGCTTGCCAGAAGACCTTATGGACGTCAGTCTGGTTTTTCCACTCAAGGCACTCTGTCTGCTTTAGATAAATGAATTGGGACTCACCTTTCTTTCAGTGGCAGTAGAGGAACTCCTTATTTTTTAAAAACTATTCATTGTTTAAAAGAATCTTCACTGAATGCAACTTAAAAGGTGAAAGATGTATATTCACCTAACAAAGGAAACTGCCTGGGGAAAACTAAGTGGGAGTAAGAGGGCAAAGAAAAAAACATTCATCTTGACAGAAAGAGAAGAGATAGCTTGTTCAGGTAACCATACTTGTTCCAATTACAACGTGCAATAAGCGTAGAACAATCCGGAACTATTATGATACACTTCATATTACATATCTTTACACCTATCCCTCACCCTGTCCTTCAGAGCCCCCAGTTTCTCAGGTGTGTCACCCATCGCGTCACGCACACAGCCAGAGAAGGCCATGGACTTCCAGCAGTACTTGTTTTCCTCTATGCCAAATCTTAACAACGTTTTCTATCAAATATCTAAAAACGCATCCAGCCAAAACACGAGACCCCTGTGCTGCATTTAGTGACTCTTTACCACTGAACAAAACACGACTCTTGTAATCACAGACAGATGAACTGCTCTGGCAAATAAGAAACAGCCAGCACAAATACGTAAGGGCATCTACGTACCTAAGTGATTGTCCATCTGACAAAGCATCTTGGGGATATTTTCATTCTTTTCATCTTCCTCTTTCAGGACAGGAGCCATATTCCAGATCACAACTTTCCCAGAATCCTGACCTGCAGATGAACAAGAGGCCCTCCTTTTAAATGCACGAGAACGGCAAAACGGCTGCACTCAATACAGGCACGGAACAGGGAGGGATTTAGTCACTGCTGGGGTGGGAACTCTGGAAACATTCAACTATGGATGCCATTCTGATACAGTAGCACAGAAGTGCTGCACTGAAAATTAAGTTACAAAGCTGTGATAAAAAATAATCATTCGTGTAACAACATAACAACTTCAAGTAACAGTGATGACTACAGGCACCAACCATTTATACAGTAAAATTGTATTTAACAAAGACACATTCAAAATCTAAAAGGCAGTTAATACAGCCAACAATATTGTTATTTGGATGACAACAGCAAATAATTCTGCACACATTTCTCGAGCTGTTCCATTTATACACATTGATTTCCCTATTTAGCTGTTCAAACACTCAGGTCCTCTTCTTTTCATCCTCAGATGAAAAAGAAATTTGGCCATTATGGCCACTACTCATCTATTGCAGCACCACCCCAACTGACATCCAAGAGGATGCACAGATCAGGGAACGCAGCTCTGCCTGCTGCATCATAGCAGGCTTTTCTATACGTCCTGAGTGATGCCTCAGATACAGACAGTTATGTGATGTGTTTGTAAATGGGTTGGGAAGACAAAAGCACTGTGAGGCCACAAGGTCATTGTGCCCGGGGGCCCAACCTCCTCAGGGTGTAAGCATACCTTGTCCTCCTGTTGCAAACTTGGTCCCATCTGGGTGAATGTCCACTGAAAATATGGGCTTTCCTGCAATCAGAGAACAAGAAACACAGTGAATTGTTTCACAGTGAGCAGAAGGCAGTCATGCCAACAGATCCACGACCCTTCAGGCTGGCAAACGGCATTTTCCTTCTAGAAGCAGTGATTACAAGAAATACAGCTGAGTAGGAGAGTCGAAAGCAATGTGAAGAAAAGAACAGCTACTAGGGTAGATGGAAGCTACCGTGCCATAAAAGAAACAGAGATGAACAAGGAGAGGTAATCCTGCAGGATATGCCAAATGCCTCAAGGCAAAGTAACACCACAACAGTTGCACCAACAAGGTAAAATCACACTTGGGTACGGAATTTCTTCCAGGTTTCTGCAGCTCATTAGCTGATGACCTGAAGCAAGGTTTTGGTTTCTGTCCTTTGTTGTTTTGTTGATAAATCCTGGAGAATTTAACTAGATTCTCCAACTATGGGTTTATGCTGCAACTATACCATCTGGCTTCCCTGACACTGAACTGTAAACAAAATCCTTGTCCCAGTACTTCTTACTGTTTGAGGGATGTGTGTTCTGCTTCATGTATTTTCTTTATGTTGACTTGTTTTGAGGTTTGGTTTGTTTGGATTTGTGTTGCAACGATGACACGTGATTCCCCTAAAAAGTTTTACAGGCAGCCAAGCAAAGACCTTCACTAGATTGAGACAGCGCTCCACGTGCACTCCTTCCCAGTCCTCTAAATCACACAAAGCACAAAGTGAGATTTAGCCGTGGCTTTTCTTCAGTTCGTGCTTGACTCCATTCTTCTTTCCCTACCATCTCGAATGAACACAAACGGTTGAGTATTGGAGAAAACAGGCAGGAAGCAAACATTGATTTTGCCCTTCCCGAGGTGCAAAAGCTCCCTTACATTAAACCAGCACATTGTTTAAACTAGTGTAAGCCACTGACGCTTACAGGAACAGCTCCCTCTACAGATGTTACAAGTGGAAGAGATTACCTTTGCTCCGATAACCTCACACCCGAAGTTACCATGTGTGCCGGGCCGTTAGCCGTGAGAGCACAGGAAGCCTTCTAATCCTAAAGGCCTCTTTAGGTCCTCAGCCTCTGCATCACTCACAAAACCAGGAACCCGATGATTCCCCGTGAGTCAGAAGGAACAAAGCCCTCAATAAGAGGGGAGCCGTGGCCCCCCAGCAGCACAGGCAGCGCTTCAGAGCTTGGGTGGCTGCAGTTAAACAACACTGCAAAGGAGACATTATTTATTAGCAACTGCCGCCCTCCTCAGCTCCATGTCTGTATCTGATGGTGTTGCTGGTCACTGCTGAGACACCCAGCAGCACCAGGTCCCTCTCCCAGAGCATCCCAGTGCCTTGCCATGCCCGCCACTGGAGAAGTTCTCATTCATACCAGTCACCAAGCATCAAAATAAGATGCACGTGATGCTTAAACAGTAACACTGCAATTTAACAGTGGGGTTTAGGATATTTTTCCTCTCTCCTAATAAGTTATAAACAATTTGTTGAAGCTATTGAAGCTCCCCACTACACAGCACGAAGCAGCAAACCAGATCCATTGAAACCAGAACACCTTCTGACAGACCATATGACATCATGTGGTTTGTTACTTAATTCTACGCAATAATCACTAAAATAAAAAGACAATTTTATGCAAAGTTCCACCTTGTGAGATTCTATTTATTTTCCTCGCAGCCCATCCAAGACACAACATCCTATGTGACTCACATATCCATTTCAATATTTACCTTCCACCATTACAGCTTGAAGAGATAATAAACTCTGTGCCTACGTTTCAACAAAGTGAGCTCCAATTCCTACAAGCTGTAACACACCAACAGCACCTCAGGGGTTGCAGAGGTTTCTCAGAATTGTACAGGACTTCCTTCCAAGAGGGCTCAGCATGTGCCACTGCTACAGACCGGGGCTCTCAACCAGCTGTGTGCCAAACGTGTACATACACTGCGCTGTGTACCTTCATATGGGTACAGAAAGGAAATGGGGGGAGAACCAAACCCCAGCTGAATATCTATAAAATATCTAATAAACTGGCATTAACAGTGCAAAGAGCTTACAGAAAATCCACTTGAAGAAGTATTTCCAACAAGCACTCTGGCAAGGCAACATTAAGAACGCCAAGACAAAAACCTGTAGAGCCAAAACGTGCAAAGTGCTCTTACAGGGAGCACACACAGTCCGGTCTGAGAAGCCCAGGCGCACTGAATGTACTTGATGCAACCCCGACTCCCATGGCTGTCATCTCACAGAGCTGCCATGCATGCCTGCCAGCATCCTTCAGCCGCTTCCAGCCCGTTCAGCAAAACACAAGTCCTAAAACTGAGCAGGTAAAGGGGAAGGGAGGAACGACAGCAAGGAACCAGCGCACAGAGGAGCCATCCTGAGATCCTGATTCCTGCTCATGCACCAACAACAGCAAACTCTTCTGGCAGCAGTGAAAACAGAAGGAGCAAGAGCTATGGACAGTGAGACCACAGCAGGAACCATCCCCACCTCTAGGGAGGTACCAGAGTAACGTGCAGCCTGTTAAAAGTGATGGAAATAGCTAATGTGCAGCAATGCCTGCGGGATCTGGAACCCTGGTACATCAGAATCACCTGCCTGATCTCACCTGATTGATCCTGCATTCCCTGCCCCAAGAAGGAGGGATCAAGAATGTCAGACAGCTCTGTGTGCCACAGACCTTAAAGCGCCTCGCAGATGAAAGCAGTGGTAAACGTCCAGCAGAGTTTCACCACCTGCAGAACAAACTGACTTGCACAAACTCACCCCAGCAGGACAGCGGCAAAAACGGAGACAAAACGTGGGGCTACCAAAGCCTTGTACTGCATCACCCGTGGGATACAGCCTTGCTCGGCAGAGGATGCTTTTCTAGAGTTCACAAGTTAATGCCAAAAGTTACAACAGTTCCCAAACACACGCCATAGCGAAGCAGTGCACCCATTAAAGAAACACAGAGAACAGCCACGGGGCCATTGCTCTCTGCGACCTGCAGAGGTGCAGGCCAGAAGTTCGCTGCTGACAGGTGGGCTCCCGGCAGCCATCCAGCGCCGGAGAGCCCACACACGAGCGGCCAGAGAGCGAGGCGCAAACTCTGCATCGGTTCAGATCAATCGAGCAGAGAAGTAACAAACACCTCAGCGAAGCGCTTCCACTTTCTTTCCGATCGCCACGACCACACATCGCACGGCCGCCCCGCGGAGAGCAGCGCTGCACGGCCGAACGGGAGCTACAGCTCCAGGCTCGGGCGGCCATTCCCGGCGCCGCAGGAGGACCCGAGGCCGAGCCGCGGGCACGGCCGCTCAGCCGGTCTCACCCGGCGCCGGGAGCGGGAGACGAGCGCGGCCGGGAGGGCAACGCGGCCAAAGCAGAGCTCTCCGCGCGGCGCTCCGTCCCGACGCGGCGCTCCGGACGCAGACACCGCTCCGGAAACCGGTTTTAAGTCCCGCAGCCGCGTTACGCCGGGCTGCCCGGCGCGGGGAGGCGCAGCCGCTCGGTCCCAGCCGCTCGGAGCGCCCCGCGGCCGCCGGCGATCCCCGCGGCCATCTTCCCCGGCCCGGACGGACCCCGCTCCCATCTCGCCGCGCCTCGGCGCCGCCCGCGGGGCCCGGCGCTCCCCGGCACCCCCGCCCGCCCGGCCCCGCCCGGCCCGCGGCACCTGCCGTCCTCACCATTGTGGTTGACCCAGGTCGGCTTCAGGAGCTTCATTGTCTCCCGCCCGGGGTCCCCCGCCGGCCTCCGCCCTCGGGACCCCAGGGCGGCTCCGCCCGGGCTGCCTCCGCGCGGCCGAGCGACCGAGCGGCGGAGCTCAGCGGCCGCCGGGCAGCGCCGCGCCGCTCTGCCCGCCCCCTCCGCCGCCCGGAGCCGCCTCAGCGCCGCTCCATGTCCCGGCGCCGCCCGTGCCGCAGCCGCCGCCGCCCGGCCGCATCCCCCGCTCTCGGCTCCCGGCGGCTCCCGGCGAACGCCGGAACTCGGCGCCTGGCAACCGCCAAACCGGCCCGGCGGGAAACGGCCGCCCCCGAGCCCCGGCGTTCCCCCGCCTCGGCCGCCGGGGGGCGAGATCCCGCGAGGGCCGCCGCTCCGCCCTCGGGCCGAGCGCCCCCTGCCGGCCGGGAGGTACCGGCGGCGGCCGCGGGGCGCGCCGGGTGAGCGCGGCGGGGCGGCCCCGGGAGGTGCTCGGGGCTGCGGAGGCGCGGCCTGCGCGCGGGGCGGGGCGGGACGTTCCCGGCCCGGAGCGGAGCTGTGGGAGCGCGGCCTGGCCGTCGCACGCAGCCATGCTGGCGGCCGCGCGGGGGCTCAGGTAGGACGCGGAGCGGCGCGGGGCGGCGGGGTGAGGTTCCAGGCGCGGCCCTTCTGACTGAGCGGCGCGGGGCGGGGGTCTCGTCCCCGTTTCGGCTTCTTTCCTCCGAACGGGCCGCGGTGGAAGGGCGGCTGTGAGAACTCCTCGGCCGCGCTCCCCCAACCCCCGCCGTGATCCGTCACCGCGGCTCGGCACCGATGGCTCCCGCGGCCGCCCGGCCTCCCTCACGCTGTGCCTTTTCTTCCGCAGCTCCAGGCTGCCCCGCCCGGCCCCGTGCCGCGGCAGCCACTGGGACACGGCCGTGCTGGCCGGGACGGCGTTGCTGCCCGTGAGGTGAGCGCGGCGCCCTGCTGATGCTTTGCGGACCCGTCGCCGAACGTCGCGTCTCGGTGTCTCCGGTTTGTTTTGATGTCGTTCGGCTTAAAGCAGCCTGCCAGCTAGCAGCTGCCCTCGGAGAGGCCGCTCCGCGTCGGGACGCTTCGCGTTCTTTGTGCACGTGTGGGCCTGCGGTGCTTTGTGCCTGTTGTGGGAACTGGGGTGCCTTTGCTTCGGTATGAGTTTGTGCGGCAGCACGGAGTAAGTTGCTGGGTGCTCCATGGACGCGCGGAGTTCCCATCTGCACGGTAGGAAGGACAATCATAAAATCGTAGTAAGGCTGAGGTTGGAATGGACTGCAAGGATCAGGAAGCTCCAGCCCCCCTGCCGGTAACCTGTGGGCCCTCTGCGAGGGTTGGATTTTGGTCTTTGTGGAGCGTGGCACACGCTGTCTTGCCTATAGTAGTAGGTGTGGTAAGCACAACAGCAGAGAAATACTCACTCCCTGAATTTGCTTCCAAATGTGGAAGTGTTAAAAGGATGTGTAAAACCACCCTCTCTGACCTCCTTAATGTGAGGTGACAGGAATGCTTGTAGCTAAACACGTTACTCCTCCGCTGCGTGCTGAGCGAGCAGGAGCCAATCCTGGTTCAGTCTCAGTGGGATTTCCTCAAGTCGGAAAAGAAAAAGAAATGCTGCGCTGTAGCACGGATCTCACGGTTGGGCTTCTCAGGCAGGTATGGCTCTGTACAGAAAATCTCACAGCACCTGCTGCTGTCTCACAGAAACTACTTTGATTTACTTGTGTAAAGGTAATGGCTGGAACTTCTATTAAGGACCAGGTTAAGCAATGGGAAATAACAGTTCTTAGGAACATTAAGGGATGTTAGATTGGATTCAGTGAGAGTGATATCTTCTTTTATTCATGTAATTATCTTGCTAGAGCACAACCAAAGAAAAAAAAGAAAGTGGATCCAAAGAGAGAGCAAGCACAGAAGGATCGTGTGAAAAAGAAGATTAAAAAGTTGGAAAAAGCTGCTCCAGAACTGATTCCCATTGAGGATTTTGAAACCCCACTGAAGTTTTCAGATAGCAACAGGTAAGTGAGACTGCCTGTCACCTTGAGCTTGCATTCGTGGTGCAAACACACCTCTACTTCTTTCTCCACCACGCTGCAGTGCAGTGCCAGCCTTTGTGTGAGGTGCTGCTGACAAAAATGTGGAAAGTAAATATCATTTGTTTCTGCTAAAAAACTGAAACATAGTCATGTGAACGTGCTGTTGGAATGCCTGTGGAAAGCCTCCAAGACAGGCACAGTGTGAGAGAAATATATTCTGAGTTTTTTTAGATGTACGGTGAGTGGTGGTGGTGGTTCTTGTGTTGCTTTTTGAGGTGCGGGCACTTTCCCTATTAGTGTCACACTTCTCCCCATCAGGGTGCGAAGCCTTCCTCCCCTCTCATTTGAGGAAACCGAAAGAAGAGTTTTACTTATGAAAAAGTGGTCTCTGTATAAGCAGCAACAAGACAAGGCAGAGAAGGAAGCAATTCGGAGCCTTGTAGAAGCTCAGCAAGAGGCACTAAAAGAACTGCGCCTGGAATCTGAGGAGCTCTACCAGGCAGCCATCAGACGGGACGAGGAGCTGTTCCCCTTTGAGAGAGATGGGCCTGATTATACCCCAGCACTTCCTGGTTATGATCCTCCTGAAGGAAAGTGCATCGATATCACCAAAGTGTACACGCAGTGATGGGGTTCGTTGTTCACCTGGCATAAGCTGCTCGGCTGACTGAAGAAGGGAGTGAGAGCTACTGGTTCCTTTGGCATGCTCAAACACAGTAGGTGCATGACTGTAAAAACAAAGAAAATTCTCTAAGTGTATTTGATTTTTTTTAAAACTGCCAAGCTATAATAAAAAAAAGTAATAAAACATCGAGCAGAGCTGTGCCTCACCTCTCCACGTGCTCCTGAGGAGTGTTTTGCTCTGCCCAAACCACAGATATAAAGGCTCTTAAAATGCAAGAGAGGAACGTGGCAGTCATCACGAGGCCGCACCAGCAGGAAGGCAGTAGCTGACTGATCACTGCCTTTCTTTGCTTCAGATTTCAGTGGTTTTTAATACAACAGAGGAAAAAGTGATGGAATTTTTTTCCCTTGACAAAGGGAAAAATAGCTTCTTTATTACCTGGTAAAGAACTGAGTAAGCCTCGGATAACGTTTGCCCTAAGCCAAAGCAGATCTCACTCCGGTCATTGAAACCTTTATTTTCACAGTAAATAGAAGGAAGGCACGCTGCTGTTCAAGAAATGCTCTCCAGCAGCGGCCGTATTTCAGCCCGCAGCGCCATCCCGGCGCCGAGGAGCTCTCACACACGGCAGGGCCGAACCAGGCAATGCTTTCCAAACGCAGTGTGCCGGCACCGTGCCGGCGGGATGCGGCCCCAGCTCGGTTCCACGTCCCCACCTGGCGCCGTGCCGTGCCGTGCCGTGCCGGCTGCGGAGCTGCTGCAATGAGAGCCGAGCGACCGCACGGGACCCGAATCAAACTCAGCGCCTGACTCCGTACCACAGCGGGTGTTTATTAGTAAGTTTTCTGACCGGAACTGTAGTGCGGACGGGCAGCGGCGCGGGGCGGAGCTGCGGCAGTGACGGCAGAGCCCCGCGGGCAGCGCCGCTACTTGGCCGCGCCGTGCTGCAGCGGGCGGTGCCAGTCGGGCGGCGGGCTGCTCCGCAGCGCCCACACCGCGCCGTGCTTCTTCCGCTCCAGGACGCGCGCTCGTTCGCTCTCGCACAGCGCCTCCTGAAACACACGCGGTCGCAGTGCCGACCCCGGCGCCGCAGGCAGCCCAGCCCAGCCCCGCCCCTCCCTTCCCGCCCCCTCTCCTTCCTCCCCGCCCCCGGACCCGGCGATACCCGCGCGGCGGTGGCGCGCTCCTTCTCCCAGGCGCGGCAGGCGGCGTAGTCGTCTCGCCAGCGGTCGCAGGCGGGCAGCTCTCCGTGCGCGTAGTAGTGGTGGAAGGCGTGCCGCAGCCCTCGACAGTGCTTCCACTCCCACCAGTAGTCCTCGCACGGCCGCGGAGGCTGCGGACAGAGCGGGCGCTGAGGGGAAAGGAGCCGCGAGGCCGAGGGGAGCCCCCGCACCCGCCGCCCCCCGCTCACCCGCCAGCTCTCAGCGCCGGCCATGCCGTCCCCGCTGCGCGTCCCTCTCGGGGCTCAGCCGCCAATCGCCGCCGCGCTTACAGGAGCGTCCCGCGCGCCGGGCCAATGGCACGGGGCGGCACAAAGCGGCCGTCGCCGCGCCCTTCGGATAATGGCCGCCCCGGGGTGCGTGCTAAGCACGTGACCCCGCCGCGGCCCCGCCCCCTCAGCACGCCCGTCCCCCCTCTCCCCTCTTTTTCCCCCACAAAGCAGCACTCACGCCCAGCACGAAGGTTATTTAGGAACCTTTACTCCAGGTTTTAAGCCACGACTGAGGAAGGAGCAGCTTTGTTTATTACTGAGATCCCACCTCCCGTGCCTGAGGTGAGGCGGCTGTCTCCCCCCAGACTGCTACAAGAGGTTCTCTAGTTATTATGAGGCATGTTACTAATTATGAAGAGCATTAGAAACTGAGTTCCTTGGGCTTCATCACATCCCAGCACCTGGAGCTAGGATCACCACAGCACAAAGCTCACCTGCACGGTGCCTACATAGAGACGAAAGTACCAAGCACAGAGCAACAGCAGAGCGCCGACACCAGGAGAGAAGAGGGCAGGCTGTTTGCTAAGAGCTGCTTTTGCTTCTCAGACTTCTCCAGCACACACTTACCCCCTTTGCAATGCATAGGAAAAAATCCCTAGAACTCAAAGAATTCGTAGAACTTAATTTTCAAGTGAAAATCAACACCGCCTGACAGCACAGTGTTCTTGTATTGCAACTGCAATAACTAACATCCAATATGCTGCAATTCTTATTTTATTTTCCTCCCGGCAGAAGGAGGTCCCACACCTCAGGGCTTCCTTCCCTTCTTGCGCAGGGACTGGCCCTCCCCTGAGAAGGCAATGAACCGGCTTCCAGCTTCATCCTGGATGCAGAGAAAAAAGGGCATCACCTCTCTGCTCACTGCTTGAACGATCAAAGCTGAGCAATGATTATAAAAAATACTCCATCAGAGCGGCAAAAGACCGTCCATCTTTCACATCCTTAATCTACATAATTAGTGCTTTC